ATCCATCCATCCATCCATCCATCCATCCATCCATCCATCCATCCATTTTTGTATATAACATTCTTCTATTTAATCATTCCAGGGGTTTGTTACAGCGACAAATTATCACAAAACTACGCCCAGCTTGGTGGTTCTAGCTCTTGTTATGAAGGAAAATCAAGCAGTCCATGTAGTAATGGATCTATGGCTTGTGCTGGTTCTAACCAGTCGGCCAACTATATCTACAAGATTCCTATACCTGCACAAGCATAATGTAGGTATTAAAATAAATAAAATACTCATTTGTTTTACGAAGACAAAACTGAATTCCAACTCCATCCAATTCCTTACTTAGATCAGCCTAGAGGTCGTTTCAGGGTTTGATCTGTGAGTTAGCTGTGCCCTGACTCAGATTAGCCCAGAGGTTGTTTCAGAGTTTGATCTGTGAGTTAGCCATGCCTGACTTAGATCAGCCCAGAGGTTGTTTCAGGGTTCAATCTATGAGTTAGCCATACCCTGACTTAGATCAGCCCAGAGATTGTTTCAGGGTTTGATTTGTGAGTTAACCATACCCTGACTTAGATCAGCCCAGAGATTGTTTCAGGGTTTAACCTGTGAGTTAGCCGTCCCCTGACTTAGATCAGCCCAGAGATTGTTTCAGGGTTTGATCTGTGAGTTAGCTGTGCCCTGACTTAGATCAGCSCAGAGGTTGTTTCAGGGCGCCATACGTTTGATTATTGATGATCATGAATAATAGACTACATTTCTTTGTTTAAGCGGAATAGACATGATTATAGATACAACTCAATTCAAAGTAAGAAATGATATCAATTCTTAAGAATGACACGTGGTCAAGTGGTCCCTTGTACTCAACGTCTTTTTTATAATTCTTTTTTTTTTTTTTTACTTTGTCACAGAAGAATCTGCTCTTAGAGGTTACTATACTCCACCTCGGACTGGCTAGCGATTACTAAAGGAAATGGAAAACTTCTTGGTCAATATAAAGCATTACTAATAACTAGCATATTTTAGCTTATATTATTAAAGATTAGAGTAAAGTCAAAACTCATTTCTTGTGTCATTTCTTATGGTTGCCTGATATAACATCCATGGGCCTTAATATGATAGCTAAAGTTAGTCGTTGATCACCCTCTGCTCTTTTTTATTTGCTTATTTAAATCTATTATGTTGTAGTTTAATTGCCCTATTTCACTATGACGTCACTGCTTGTTTATGTGGGGGATAGAATCGCCAAATCCAATAGGAAATTCAACAAAATTTTCTCCTAGCGAAACAGTTTGATCTAAAATAGCCTGGTTTTCAGATACAATGTGTTAATATGTACTAAAAAAATATTTTGAGAGTTTGCTGACTATTCTACTTCTCTTCGTGGATTGATTGATTGGGGCTAGCCTCGTTGGGACTGCGAGTCCGTTCGCTCTGCCCCTCATGTAGTTTACGTGCATCCGCTCTCTTTGGATTCCATTTTTTTATTATTTATGTAATCTGCATGGAAGTCACTAATAAATAACAAATAATATATAAATAAATAGATACGGGTTTTAGAACAATTTTCGGTGAATTTGCGTTGATTTGACGCCGTCTCACGACCACGACCTTTGCGTTTAAACAATAGATTGTTTTGATGCGACACCATAGTGAAATAGGGCAATTCTTTAGGCATTTTTTTAATAAATGGAAGTACGAAGTAATATCAGTTTTGCTCCCATGTGGAGGGGGAAGGGGAAGGGGGAATGAAGGGGGAAGGGGGAATGAAGGGGGAGTGGGGAGGGGGTTACTTTCGCATAACGAACGAAGGGCGGGAATTGCCATAGACCAATTCTCCTAACGCCCTGTTTTATTCAATTCAAATCTACCAGGAATACTTTTCTTTGGGTATTCATCCCTGTCTAATTATAATTGCATCACGTTTCTCACAAAATAATGCAAAGTTCAGTTTATGCTAAGGCCAAAAAAGTGGGTTTGTATTCAGAAATTCCTCAAAAAGTGAAATTATACACTATAAAAAATTCAGTTATACATGCTTTTTAATCATTTATTTTAATCCCTTGGATTTATATCAGAAGTTTAAGTTTCACAATTTAATTCAATTGAGCTACATTTCTAGCATTTCAATCTTTTTAATGTTTAGTTTATGCATTTCGGATCTTGTTATATCCCATGACACTAACGGCCAACATGATCCTGGTTGGGCTTCCTGTGGTCTAACTACATTAAAAACGTAACACGTGAAAATAATAAAAATAATTTATCAGATGGGAAGATATTTATTAATATCTATTAGGTTATTGGTGTTATTTTTGATAAAGAAAGCAACAACCAGAATACTGTGTTAAAGCCAGCCAAGTGCATGTCCAAGGAACGTTGGGCATCTAAAAGTTGAGGCCATCGAGTCTTTCAGGATCTCTCGCAGGAACGAACGAGCGTTTCTTTAAATCTGTTTGGCAGCGAATAAAAAATATACCAGATATCGGCGTTATCACATAATAGACAATTATAACGCAAGAAGGATGAGGGCGAGGGCTTCCCCGTCCCTATAATTCAGGTTACCCTCCGTTATGCTGATGGATCCTGGGGATTTGGCGGGAACGTTTCCCGCCAAAACTCGCGTGCTCACCCACTGTGGGACTGCTAGCTAATTGGACTTTAGACCCCTTGTAGCACGAGGGAATGCAGCTTGATTTGGAGGACATAACAAAGGGTTTCCAATTCTCATGACATTGAAATCCTTCTGTCGTCGTCTTCCAAATTGCTCCCGTGGGGAGGGGTGGGAGGGGGAGTTGCTTTGAAATTATGCAAGGTCTCTATTGCATTAGACTGAGCAAAATTTCATTCCATTTGTAAAAAAGCAGATTTAGTAGAGCAACTAAGCTAAATAATTAAACACGAGAAGTAAAACAATTTTAGACTTTGTTATCCTTTTAGCAAGTGAATTCACTAACTCTTAGCCCATTATTATTTATTCGCATTTCTACAACTTATTTTATTAATTACCTATAGATTATCAGATTTTAATTATTAATTAGATATTAGATTTAAGAGGAGTTTTTGATTGTGATTGTTATTATTTTTAGATTTGTATTTTGTATTATAGCACGGCTTGCCTGAAACCAATTAATTTAATTATTATTAATTATTATTAGATAGTACATTCAGCAAGTCGAGCTTGTACGCTGTAAGGGACTGACTGGATTTCCATAGCCAATCAGAGGCGAGATAGCGAATGAAGCTTGTACGCGTTAGGGATTGGCTACATTCTCTTAGCCAGTCAGAGGCGAGATAGTGAAAGAGGCTTGTACGTTGTCAGGGATTGGCTAGATTCTCATAGCGAATTAGAGGCAAGATAGGGTAACGCTTGTACGCGTTGAGGGATTAATCAGAGGCGAGATAGTGAATGAAGCTTGTACGCTGTCAGGGATTGGCTGGATTTTCATAGCCAATCAGAGGCGAGATAGTGAGTAAACTCTATAATGATTTATGATGACTTACTTGACAAGTTGATCTTGTAGACGTAGTTAGACTGAGTGTCAGCCCCAGCACACGCGACAGACCCAGCACCACAAGCTTGACTCGATTTCCCCTCGAAGCAGTTAGTAGATTCGCCCAACTGAGCATAATTATCTGACACATTGTCGCTGTAACATAGTCCTAAAAAAAGCGAAAAGATGAGTAAAAAACACTTGGGAAAAATCGTCTGATTTGTCTCCAACTAAATATAATTATCCGACACATTGCCGCTGTAACATTGTCCTAAAAAAAGCGAAAAGATGAGTAAAAAACACGGGAAAATCGTCTGATTTGTCCCCAATTAAACATAATTATTTGACACATTGTCACTGTAACATTGTCCTAAAAGCTCGTTATCCTTCGTCGCGCAATGTATTGTGTTTAATCAGTAATTGCTCACCGAAGTCTGAAACACCAAAATACTGGTGACCCTTAATTTTGGCCTCACGAGCACACTTGCAAAGAAACTCAGGGAAAAAGTTACTCCAGTTTTGAGTGTCTGCCATTTCGCCGTAGAACTTTGGGCTCGGTGGGAACTTGGCATTGACTAACTCTTCCTTCAGCACGCGATTTACGGCGTTTTCTTTGTAACATCCGATTGGTTGGATGTTGACGTCACATGCTCCCTCTAGGGTATTGTAATAGATTCAAGATGATTAATAATTGCAACAACAAATATTATGGATGAATGCAAATAAGATGATGATGATGATGATGATTTATATAGCGCCCTTTTTCTATATGGATATAATCAAATGCGCTTTACATGGAGTTGTGAATGACAGATTGTTTTTTATGCAATTTACAAGCTTGAGAGATGGTTAGTATGAAGTGGAGGCACTGAGGGTGGTCACTGCCAGGGTTTCTTTTAACGTCCACAGTGGTTCTTTTATGTCCCCCATTTACTGTAGGTTAGGAAGGGTTGGGAGACAGGGCCTACGGTTTAAAGTCCTTGTCCGAGAAGACTTAAAGGTCTAACCATTTGCAGATATAATTACAAAGGCAGCACCTTCTCCTCAGTTATTTAAGATCCTGAGTGTTGGTCCGGCCGAGGCTTAAACCACGACCTCCCGCACAACAGACCAACGCTCTTACCAACTAAACATTATATAAGGGTTGACGTACCCAAGCTAGACCACAATGCACCATGTTCACTATCTCACAACACCATATTAGGCATGATGAACAAAAGATGTTAGTACCCAAGCAAGACCACAATGCACCATGNTATCTCACAACACCATATTAGGCATGATGAACAAAAGATGTTAGTACCCAAGCAAGACCACAATGCACCATGTTCACTATCTCACAACACCATATAAGATATGATGAACAAAAGATGTTTGTACCCAAGCTAGACCACAATGCACCATGTTCACTATCTCACAACACCATATAAGGCATGATGAACAAAAGATGTTTGTACCCAAACAAGACTAAAATGCACCTTCATCGCTATCTTTAAAAAGCACGATGTAAGGATTGATTAAAAAACTAAAAAGCTGTAAGACTTACTGAGCCTGTAGACGTAGTTTGAGAACTGGACACCAGTACAGTACGGGTGCTGTTTGCAGTCTTGGAAGCATTCATTTACACAGTTGTCCTTATGTCCATCTTGACCATACGTTTCACTCCCTTGTGGGTGGGACCAACACTCTCCTGTTATAAACAATACCCGTTATATGACATTTAAATATTGGATACACTACACCACACCACGCCACGCCACACCACACCACACCACACCACACCACACCACACCACACCACACCACACCACACCACACCACACCACACCACACCACACCACACCACACCACACCACACCACACCACAAATCCTACTTTTTAATTAGCAAGTATATCCCCGTTCTTACCATAAAACTGAAGTCCAAAGTAGGTGGAACCGTTATTCTTGGCGGCATTTGCACATCGACAGGCTAGTTCAGGAAGGTACACATCCCAGTTGCGCCAATCAATAGTTCTTCCACTGTAACTAGGATTCGTGGGGTCACGATCATTCAACAAGTAGTTTGCGAGGGGTCTGGCGTTGTCGTTATGATTATCTGCGAAGCATCCTTCCTTGACAAACTCGACATTACACTTAGACTCGACTATGGCACAAATAATAAAGACTTACGTACTGCTTCAATTTTAAAAAGGCAAGACAGACAGACAAAGAAAGACAGAAAAGATACTAAAAAAGAAAGAAAGAAAGAAGTTTGCAGAAACGCTCTTTTCCTTTCTATTTTTTTTTTCTTTTGTGTCATCATACTCCACAACAACTTCATTTACTGGTGGGATACAGGGCCGTAACCAGGGATCTCGCAGGGGAGGTGCACAGGCAATGATTTGCAGAACCCACTAACAAAACAACCAAAAAAAAAAAAGGGGGGGGATAATGGGTGAGTGATTCTTAAAATGCTATAATATGCAGATGGAAAGTGGTCTTCATTCAATCAAAAAAACATTTACATGCAATTTTAAAGCAAAAGGAGATGGATGAGCGGACCTTAAACTTTAATGGGGGCTTGCACGTGCACCCTGTGCCACCTGGTTATAGCCCTGGGATAGGCATGTCTTCATATCGTTTGCATTACCTATTTCGTAGACAAAGTTATACTCGTGTTCTCCAGAACAGTATCGAGCAGTAGAACCACATGGCTTATATCCATCACCAACACACTTGGGATTACCGTTGCCGAGACGTTTGTAGTTATGAACTCCCTTCTTGCCCGCCCAGCATTCACCTGTAGTACAAAGTTTTAAAAATCATGGTTTATGTTAATTTATGATTTTGGATACGAGCTAGCCAGCTAAGGCACCGTCCACACGTATCCGGAGATTTGTGTATCCGCAATTTTTTTTTTTTTTTTTTTTTTTTGCGGATACGGGTTGCGTCCACACGTGTCCGGAAATGTTTGTATCTGTATCCGGAAGTTTTCGAATACGCTGACGTAATCTTTAAATATGCCTCTTCGTCTTGGGGTAATGTTTTCCCAATTCAGACCACGTGTCATTCCCTTGAGAATAAGATTCTTTGTTTGAGCTGTATCCATATTCATGTGTCTTCTCATGTGCAACCGAGCGCAAACCTTTAACAAAGACATGATACTCTAGGGAATGACACGTGGTCTGAAATGGGAAAACATTACGTCAGAGCCGAAGAGGTCTATTTATCGTAAATGCTACTAATTGAACTCATGGTGGAATTCTAGTTTATTCAAAACGACAAATCTACTTTGTACTTGGCCCCTGTTATGAAAATGCTAACCAATAAATAGTTGACCAATAATTCATTTCGGGGAACGCAGTCAACTTCGCCGGAGTGACAAACGTTTGGCTGTTCGGGAAACCATCGGTAAAATTACGAACGCGACTGGAAGGAATCTGTATATCGATATCATTTGAAAGGTTGACATCTCTTTTCAACTGAGTAGAGATAACTAGCTAAAATCTAGTGTGAACTGCGTCGGTGTTTCTACTGAAACAGTAATGATAAAAGGGTATATTTTACACTGTGAAAAGATGAAAAAACGTACTGACGTTTCGGACGCTAGTCCTAAAGTGCTCTTTTACTCCGACGAAGGACTAGCGTCCGAAACGTCAGTAAGTTTTTTCATCTTTTCACGCTGTAAAATTTACCTTTTTATCATATCTTTTCAACTTACCATAAAACTGTATGCCAAACAAATCATATCCCAGTTGTCTTGCTTTTTGTGCACATCGACAAGAAAACCCTGCCAAATATTTCTCCCAGTTGTACCACTCAATGGAYCTGCCACCATAGTTGTCTTTGCGGCTAGGGTCACGCTCATTGTAGATGTAGTTGGGTAGAACCCTGTCTCCAACGCTATCCTTGTAGCATCCAAGTGTCTTGTAGTGTACAGGACAAGGTTCTTGAAGTCGGCATATTCTTTCAACACCAAATGCAACTGACAAAGAAAATGAATTCAAATATTAATCAGATTTCAAGATGTTTGTTCGACCGGTCACGCAGACCGCTTAATTTACAGTGCAAAGCGCAAAAGTATGAATAAATTTAATGCATTCGCATATTTCTATGCACGGCCTTTTTGCTGTCAAACAAGCATTTGTATGCCTTATTTGGTAAAACAAGCCAGGTTTAACATACAGTCTAAGCCCGTGCATAGAAGTATAAGAATACATTAAATGTGGTCATACTTGCGCGTGTTGCGCTGTAAAATATATTCTACAGTGGCCTTTCTGTTGTTTGTTTTCAAAGTTATCATATGCTGATTTTCTAATCTTGTGGGGGGGGGGTGGG